CCCTCAGTCTGTGTCTGGGGCTGACCCTGTGCTAAAGTGTGTAACAGGCAACACTGGGGCAGGACAGGGGAGGGGAGGGAGGCTTTGATAACACTGCCCCATCTCCTCCTGGCGTCCCTTCCTGGCACCCTGTCATGCCAGGTCTCTTGTGCCAGAATAAGTGCCTGGACCCCACCTGTGCCCAGACCCACAGAAATAGGCCATCCTAGATGTCTTCCCCTTGGAGCCCACAACACCAGTTAGCTCATCTGATGGGCCCTGAGCGTGTCCAGTCTTTCCACCAAAGCATGTCTAGTGGAGGAGGAGAGTGAACCTGGACGCTGGGGAGGTGGGCGTGGGAATGTAGCCAAAAGTATCAGACATGAGTCTCAAGTGTCTTTAAAATATGTATTCTTTAAATATTTTTTTTATTATTTGTTTATTTATTTTTGGTGAGGAAGATTGGCCCTGAGCTAACATCTGTGCCAATCTTCCTCTATTTTGTATGTGGGATGCCGCCACGGCATGGCTTGATGAGCAGTGTGTAGGTCCTCGCCCAGGATCCGAACCTGTGAACCCTAGGCTGCTGAAGCAGAGCACATGAACTTAACTACTATGCCACCAGGCCAGCCCCTGGAATATGTATTCTTTACAAGGCATGCAACTTTTGCATTCCTCTCCATGATATTTTTACATAAAAATATTTAGTGTATCATTTGCATGATTTTTCCTCCCAAATCTTTGAGAAAAATGCAAATACATAAGGAATATGGGCCACATCCCTGGGAGACTCAGACCTCGGTTTGAGGAGCATATGAGGGGTCCCATAATTTTGATGGTGGCTTTTTGGACACAACTGCCCTACCCACAAATTTCTGTGCACATATACCACTCCACTCCCTGGTTTAGAGAGGCATGCCTGGTGAAGAGACGTGGCGGGAGGGGCAGGTGGGCTAGCAGTATCCCACACCTCATACCCCAGTGTTACTAATGAGCTGTTACTTACACGCTGCCTGGACCCTGAGCAATAATTACAGGTGATTACTCATTTTCTGATGAGTGTGGCTGCATCCATGCCTCTGTTTCCAGGGGAAGTGCTTCAAAGGTGGGGCTGGGCTGAATACTGTAGTGTAGCAGCTGAAAGCCTGGGATGGGTTTGAAAACTGACTGGCTTCCCACTTGCCAGCTGTGTGACTTCAGGCTAGTGACTTAACCTCTCTAGGCTTCACTTTTCACCTCTGAGAAATGGACACAATCATAGTATCTCTCTCAAAAGACTGTTAGGAAGATTGAATGAGATCATGTGTGTAAAGTGCTTAGCACAGTGCTTGGCATATGGCAAGTGCTCATACACAATTGTTTTTGCATGTTTAAGGGCAGGGATCAATTTTTCTGTGTTGTGGAAGGCTCCCAACATAGTACAGACGCATGTTCCCTTTGGCCAAAGCCGTGAAAATAAGAATGAGGAGTCAACACCCGGAGGGAAGGACAGACATCACAGACAGGAGGATAGGGAAGCAAAAACTGAGCCCATTCCTAGTGGTAGGTCCAGAACCTGCAGCTGGAAACGTCAGTGAGGGCACCAGAGCATGTCCCTGTGATGCTGGGAACATGGGCAGCACCCAAAGACTTGGTGTATGGGTGCATGGGCATGGGTGGGAAGGAGTCACTTGAAACACTGAAGGGAAACAAGCAGTTTTGTACCTGTGAGAGGGCAAGCAATCATTTCCACTGGCTTCCAGCAGGTCGGGGCATTGGAACCAAGAGACCCACCTGGAGTCCAGGACATTTTGCCAGGGCCCAGGATTTAACCCTCAGAGGTCATTTCCTCCCACTCCATGGAGGACCTCACCCTTGCTCCAGATGCACACCCACAGTCTGGCTTCCAGCCTGCAGGGTGGGGAATGGGATGCAGTTATTACTCTCATCCTAGTGGCTGTTTGGAGGAATTTGATCATAAGACAGAAATATATGCCCCTTCCCTGTACTGGCAGCTGATCATCCCCAGCCCCTTTGGCAGGAAAAGTTCTGGCTGAGGCAGATCCTTTCAATTCATTGCTGATGAAATTGCCTTTTATACACAGTGCCTTGACAACAGCTTGAAAAAAATGTGACTATGCCAGCGCCACAGACATCCTGAGCCCATGCCAACAGCGTGAACCCATTTTCCTTTAATTGGCTGAAGTCAGAAAGGCAGGAGTCAGGCTCTGGGGACTCGCTTCTGGTATGGGGTGGCTGGAGAGCATCAGCTTCAGGTTCCTGCTCAGGCCAAAGATGGCGAGGAAGATGCTGGTGGGAAGATGGCCTTCCCCAATGCTCCCAGCTACTGCAGAGACTGGCCCTGGGCCCACAGAAGAGGAGACCATTGGTCACATCAGGAGTTTCCAAAGCTTTTGTTAAGTAATTGGTGAAACTCAGCTGAGTCACTGGGACGCTGGATGATGGCCCCAACTCCTCTTATAGGATGATGCCAGGCTGCTTGGCTTCGTCCAACTCCACTGACCTGGATCAACCACTCCCAGAGGAGAGAGGGCCATTCCCAGAGGTACAGAGGTATGGGAGGGCTCTCTCATGGCAGTCATCTTATTCAACACTCAATCATTCAACAAATATTTATTGAAGACCTACTACGTGCCAGGTACTGTGTGGGTGGGTACCCAGGGTACAGAACCAAATAAGAATGCTTTCTGGCCATAAGGAGCTACTAGTGTAGTGTAGGGCTAGAGGGAGCCCAAGTTTCTGGACTATCCAGCCGGGTCATTTTAGGCAGTAGCAGGCCTCACTTTATATTGGCACTGACTTCCATGAGTCCCGACCTTGGTGTTGTGGGACAGTATCCCTGGCGGGCAGCTCTCAGAAGAGCTCTGCCACCAGGGCTAGGCCTGTTACCCCTGGTGGCCTTCCGCATGCAGATGAGGCTCTGGCTTGGTGTTGGGGAGCATGCAGAGCGGCCCAGCCTGACTGTGCTGTCTCTTGGCTCCTCCTCCATGCTTAGATTCTAAACTGCTTTAGCCATGACCTTTGCAGACACGAGAAAGAGTCTGTGCCCAAGCAACTAGAAGGATGTGCAGCTACGACATACAACTATCCACTGGGGCTTTGGGGGGACAAAATAAAATAAATAAAAAAATCTTAAAAAAAAAAAAAAGAGTCTGTGCCCAATCTTTGGGAGGAGGCCACTGTACATGGTTGTATAGTTTGTGCACCTGGCTGACGAGGCAAGTGTGGCTGAAATTACCAAGCCATGTACCCACAGGGCTAGCTAGCATCACCTACAGGATAGAGTTTTTTTCTAATTCATCATGAGGGGGTGGATGCAGCAGGGAGAACTTTTTTCTAGTTGGCACAAATGCGCCTCATAGGCTAGTGGGGACCTGTGATTACCAGAAGGAAACAGGAGAACAGGAGAAACAGAATCATTTCTCACCATTAAGTAACTCTCTGAAAAGCCAGAGGTCAGCCCTACTTAGGGTCCTGTTCTTCTATCCTATCCAACACCCCTCCCAGTAAATTGCCAGAGCCCACTGCAAGGGATTCACTAGCCTAAGCTACAAGAGAGTCAGGCTATACTCTGAGGCGACTGGGCCCATTTCAGAGGGAGAGGCCCCATTTCCCAGCCCTAACCCAAGAGCTGACCTGAAACCCTGTCTCCTAACTACCAGGCTATCCGATGCACTAGGCACTGAGCACATTGTGTTTCTGCCCCACCCCGCTCCCCCAACCCCCTTTAACTCTAAGGTCACAGCCATGGTGGCCCAGTGAGCCAGAGGCCCCAGGGTCAAGTGAAAGGAGTAAATAGTATCCAACTCCCATGACCAACAGGAGGCTTCTGAGAGCAGCAAAGAGGAGGCAAGAGGAGCAGGTTCCTCAGCTCTCGTCACCCACTAGGGCCCAGGGAGGTGGGAGCAGAGGCCCAGCGGAGCACTCAGGGGGCCGCCACCAACCAACCATTCCAGGATACCCACAAAGAGGCACCGCGAAGACTTATTGGGATAGTAAGATGAATAGATTTAATCATTCTTGTTTGAAAAACAAGACATAAATCAGTATATATATATATAAGTTATATATTTTATGTAGTATATATACTATATACAGACATTAGAAAATGTGTCCTCTCCATGAGGCTGAGGGAGAGGTGAAGGATGGTGGTGGAATGACACAGGCGGGGGCTGAGTGGTGAAGGCGCAGGATCAAGAAGTTGGGAGAGGAGGCAGACCACGTCAGCACTCAGGCTGGCAGTGGTCACGGGGGAAAGGGGTCCCCACTGGCTGCATCTCTGGCCCATTGAACAACTTGGTCCTGTGGGAGGAGAGGCAAGGAAGGGGGGCTGGCTTCTGCAGAAGGAGCTTCCCTAATCCTTGCCAGGAGAAATCGCCACTCAGGGGGGCTTTATTGCGTTGGGGGTACCAAGGATGGGTGGGGGTTAAGCACAGTGTACATCTTTATAAAACTCACATAAGAATGGGGGATTTCACATGGACCTCTCATGTAATGATGAAAGAGAGGCAGACACAGGGCACAAGCGGGCGGGAAACGGGGAGGTATGGAGAGGTGGATGAGAAGCAATCTATAGAGAAAAACATTGGCTTTCTTTGTTCCCTACAGTGGGACAATTGGTAGGGACTCCGTGTCTTCACTCCCAGGAAAGTTGTAGGGGGGCGGTGACGGCAGCAGATGTGTGTCAAGGAGGATGCTAAACAGTGTGAATTCCCTTCCAGATGACTCCGGAGAGAGAGAGAGGTGCAGGACTGCACCGGGTAAGGCGCTCAGCTTCTTTTCTTAGAGAGACAAATCCACAGGGTCAATACACAGCCAAAAGCATATACTCAGGATTAACATATCACGCTAGCTTCCAGAAGTTTAAGATATAGTCATCAACGCCCCCCACCCCATACCCCTTCCCCCC